GCCCAGCTAAATCCCATTGGTTCTGTATCTCAAAGGAGGATGAAGCAAATTTGTTCTGTCTCTCAGCAGCCTTACAATAATACCCTCAGGACAATTTGTATTCTTACCCCTACACCTATGCTGCAGTCAGTTCACTTCGTATTGGACAACTTCCAAGATAATAGATGCCTATGTGGCTTCTGATCTCGGGAAGACATATAAGCTAGAAAGGATCATTCAGAATATCAGTAAGTCCGTATTCAGCAAGAAAGAAGGGATAATTGGCAAGCCTATGCTCACCGTGCATGTATACACCGGAGTGTGAGTCATGAGTTACTGAAGTTTTCTTAATTTTGTAGAGGTGTAAAGTGAGCATTTGTCACCAGGGACTGAGGTAGAGAATTGCAAAGAAAGTCTGACTGAGAAAAGGCTTTTCTTAAATTACACTGATATGATTCTGGTAGGTCTGCCTACAAATACTAGTAAATAAAATGAGCTCAAATTAATTACAAAGAAAGGAGAAGATAATAATTTGGGGTTCTGTGAAATTTAGGTGCACACTGTGAAATGTCATATCCTTCTTGATAATTTCAGTGATGTATTCCAGCTGTCAGAGTTCCTAATAGTTCTATTCCTCCCTTTTCTGATAATAGCGATTTTACAGTATTGACAGACACAAAAAGATAGAGTGTAATCTACACTGTCCTGATGGCAAAGGCTCTCTTGGGTGCAGTACTGAAAGAAGATACTTAAATTAGCATCAGCGCAATTCTGCTGATTAAGGTTAAGGTTGCCATGTATCATTGTGGGTGTGTCAGAAAACAGTGTCAGACCCAAAACACACAAATCAAGCTACTTGTTATGCAAAACTTCCTTGTTCCTGCTTTTGACAGGTGCAGTATAGATGCTGTTTTAATCTACATGTCAACAATTTTTTATAAGTAAAATTATGGCATTCTATCAAGACCCGAGGAAACCATCATAACATGGTCTGAAAAACAAACACATGGACTCCTGAATATCTATCTCCTAACACCTAATCATACACACTTCTTTTCCACATCCCTCAAGATGCTGTTGCATGATAATGAACATTTATAGCAACATTCCATCAGCTGAAAGAGCATTTAGGATGTGTCGGGCTTTTGGATGGCAGAGATCATTTTTGTCACAGAGGCTCATATGATGTTCTCCTTTGGATTTTTTATGGAAACAGTGCTGATCACACAGCCACGTAAGAGCTGCTTCCATAGGAGCCAAGCTTCCATAGACTCAAGGATGTTTCTACTTCTTATGATCTTCTTCATGCCGCAATGCTGGAGCTGCACAAGAAGTTGGGAGGAGACACAGCCAGGACAGCTGGCCCAAACTGACCAAGTGGATACACCATACCACCCAATGCCAAGCTCTGCAACAAAAGCTGAGCTGCAGAGGGAAGAATGAGGGCATATTGCTTGTGACAGTGTTTGTCTTCACAAGAAATTTACGTCCGATGAGCCTAGAAGTGCTTCCCTAGAAGTGCCTGAGTATCTATCTGCCTGCCTGTGGGTAGCAGTGAATTAATTTCTTGGCTTGTATTGCTTGCGCACACAGCTTTTGCTTTACTTTGTAAACTATCTCATCCTATGACTTCTCACACTTCTGCCCTTCCAATTCTCTTCCCAGTCCCCTGTGGGGACAGTGAGTGAGTGGCTGTTCAGTGCTTAGCTGCCTCCCAGAATTAAACCACAACTGGAAGGTATTCAATTTATTGCTTTTAATCAGAAAAGTCCATTTTGGGTTGTAGGCATGACAACTCACAGATCAGCTTACAATCTGTGTGGAGACTCCCTAGATTTATAAACTTGATAGTAAACTAAAACACAGTGTAGATACGTCACCAGACAGGATGAATAAGTACTCTTATTTTTATTCACCTAGTTTGCCTGACAGCCACAAGGTGAAACCACGACAGCAAACAATTCTGTTTAAAATGGCAATTGGAGAACCACAGTAATTAGTTGGGCAAGTGGCTGGAAACAATGTTTGGCATTTCATTAGAGATCTGCTCACCTCTCCTGTAATCAGACATACTCACATAGTCACCATTAGGCAAAGCACGTTCATCTGTAACCTCTTTTTGTTTTTCTCTTCCTTGGAATAAATATAATTTGGCGAAACCTTTCTTTCCCCAGTTACATATGCTGCAAGGCCTCCTTGTTTAGCTGAGATTTCAATTGCATAAAAAACATAGGAATAACTGCATCTTTAGCTCTAATTTCAAGTTACATATATGCACACACGTGTGTGTACAGTTATATTTGCTAGTAAGCGATACTGACAGCTACAATGTATAGAAAAGCAAATAAATAAATAAACAGTTAAAGAAATCTGACTGAGAATATTAATTTACAGCAAATTGCCACACTGTACCACTGAAGATATGGCCATCAGGCATGAAAAAGAATTGAGCAGGCCAAAGACCTGAGGTACTTCCTGATGTGGAATTGATATACTGACATCTGTCCTGTCGAGCTGGACAGAATCCCTTCTGTTGCTGAACTAGCAGCTGTGTGACAAGCTAGAGTACATCAGTCCTTCAAGAAGTAGCAAGTGGCATGCTCGTTGTTTCTCGGAAGGAGTTACTCAGGACTGAAGCATATGCACTCCACCCCTTGCATGTTGGCATGGTTAAGGTAACCTCTGCAGCTGCCATCTCACATCCTTTAAGATATCACACACTATCCCTTCACGGCAGTCTTTCTGTCATTTAAAGAAGAAGCTGTCCCTCTGTTTCTGACAGAAAATATGTACCTATATACGCTTCTTTGCACCCTCTAACAGTTACCAGATGGAGAGAAAGCTGGCTTCTTAGCACACCAAAATGCTGCTGTCTAACAGAAATTTTGACAAGGCAGAAATCAAACACAGTACAATATTTCAAGCAAATGCCTGAAATAAAAGGAATCTATATTGCTACACCTATATATCTGACACCTGCAGCTAATAAATCCTGATCTATGTAGTAAATGTCAATGCAAACAGTAAAAAATACATATGAGAACAGAACAAAGTACACCCTGATTTGGAAGTTATTGAATGCTTACATGCAAACAGTTTCAAGAAGCTTTGAGACTGAAATTTCCCTGCTCCCTGTTTTCCTTCTTAAAAATAAATCACTGTGTCTGAACACTGGAATTGTGGTCTATTGTGAGCTGAGCTGAAATTATGTGGAGGATTCAGCATATACTGGGAAAGCAGAAAGCTGCTGCTATCTTTGTGAGCTAGTTGAAAAGTGAAAACAGATTAGAAAAATAAGTTCTTCAATAGGCAGCAACATTGCTTTCACACCAGATTTGATGAATAAGTCCTCCCGGCGGCACTAACACCTGATACGCACATTGCATGGATTAGCAAGTTTTAGTCCAGGCAGAAGAAAAAACATTTTTTTCCTCCCTTGCAGTAACGGCTGCAGGTGTATTATCTAATGAAAACACAACAAGATTTCTCTAAGGAATGTGAAATTCGTTTGGTGTTTCCATCAAACAATTATATGTTGTTCATCCACTATCTAGGAAGCACTGAGGCATATCCAGACCTGATTACATTTATTCTTAGCTCAAGATCAGAATACCCCACTAGGGTGGCAAGCAGTTTCTCATCTCTGCCATACCATGATGCAGACATATACAAAAGAGGGGTTTCTAATAACAATACAGCCACATTTGCTTAATATGTTGATCATCCTAAATCAAAGTTTGATCATTAATGGAGCCTTTCAGAGTGTTTCAAATTAAAGGATAAATTTTCGAAGACATGTAGCGAGGAATTGCTAACTGTTTTCTATTAACAGCAGTGGGAGGTAAACAGCTCCATCCCCATATACTGCTCTGAAGTGTACCCTCTCAAAATGCTGTATTTTCAAAAGGCAGACAACTTTTCAGCAACTATGAAGCTTCTAACAACAACAGTATCATTTCCGCTGATGCTATCTGTCAGCTAATTCTACCTCCAGGAAAACATTAGGCCTGCAAAAAACAGAATAGCTCAAAGACATCTTTGCAGTAAAGGAACACAGAGGAACCCCTGCTAAGGGTTGTATCTCTGGAAAATATATTAATAAAGTATATATTCTTATGCACTGGTGTGTATGCCAGACTCTCCACCTCTGCATAGGGCAAAGTAAAACCAGTTTGGCAACACAAAGCACTTTTGCAAGCCAGTGTACCCTGGAGGCTCTAACTTCCAGAGATTTATCTGAAGATACACCAGAAAATAAGCTCAGCATAGAGAAGTCTCAGACATGCTTGAAGGTTAAAAGAGGATCATTCATACTGCAGTGCAATCATCATGAAGCACCTGATGAACAGAACAAATGTTATCATCCAATCTACTCATTATAAATGAGGAAGGAAAAGGAGTATTTTCACAATTGTTTGCAAATTCTGTTCAGATCCACTAAGTTCACAATGTAGTCCTTTACAGTTCTGAAAAACATGGCAGCTTATATAAGTGCATTAGGGAAATAAAAATCTCAACTGCTTTTTAGAAATGCAGTAAACTACACATTCTCCTCCCTGATGATTTTTATCATTAATAATGTAATCTCACAAGCTAAACATCAGAAGGTGTAAACAAGTTGTTAGAACTGATTCATGAGAGCTATTCTTCCCATTACAGCAGGATTTTTCTATTCAGCAAGGAATTTTTACAAGTTATCTCTGAGAGACAGATAAGGATACATGGAATTCCCTCTCTCATCTCCTTTATTAAATACATATTTCTCATTTAATTAAAAGTCTTTGTAAGATTACTTCTGATACATTTGGTCAAATGGCAAAGACTAATTAGAACAACCACTATTTGGAAGCCCATTAGAAAAGAATCAATCTCAGCAGCAAAAGTAACAAACACAAACCAAACATTAGAACATTATCTCCTCAAGGTCAAAAGAAGTAGTTCAAGATGTTCCATCTCGCTAATCTTCAGAAACAAAAGGTGAATAGCAAAACAAACCAACCCCTGTGTAAGAAAGTACTTACCACGATGTCTTCAGGAAAAGTATCCCGACTAAAAGAGCCATCATCAAACATGACTTCATAGAAAAGCTGTGATGTCACTCCAATGACTCTGCAGCTGTAATATCTTGTATTCCGATGTTTTGCGATGACTGTCTGCCCAACTGTAATGGTCTTCTCACATGCTTTAGTTCTCTTGAAAAAAAATATAGAAGCAATTTTAAAATACCAGCTTACTCATCAGAATTGTACCAATGTTAAAACTGAATGAAAAATAACACTCAATAAAAAAAACTTTAAATGCAAAATTGCTCCTTACCGTCATGATCATACAAATTTAACAAAGGTTTTCATTTCTCAAGAATAACAAATTACAGCGCTCAAAAATATCTTTACAGTTTATACCTTCTCACCATTTCACAGTAGAGAAAGAATATTAATTAATTAATTAATTGAAGTTCTTGAAGCATGGCAAAGATAGACTGTGGTCTTGCATTGTTTTAGAAGGTTTTTTTAAGTCTTGTACTGTGACATGATTTCTCATAATTACTTTGCTATTTTCTGAATGGGATAAAAAAAAGTGTAATGCATCTTCAGCTCATGTCAGAGCTGTCTACAGGAGTAGAACATTTGCTTGAAGACTTTAGACAGCACTGATCACTCTTCATTTACTCATTTAGTACATCAGTACCAATAATTTTTTCTCATTTTTCACTTTGCATTCAATAGAACTAATTATGTCAATCAGATCTGTGTTAGGGCTGATAAATTATGCAAAAATTCTACAGCAATAATTGTTTTTAATGGTTTTTATAAATAATAGAACTTTGTAAATCAGCAAATGCTTAGAAGCTCACATGATGCTGACAATTGTTAAGCATCTACTTCCAACTGAAGTATACCCAGGAACTTTAAAAAGAATGTTCTTCACCAGGAAAAAAAATATGCAGGTTGCCTCTTATTTATTTCCGTGGAAAATACGACACAAAGAGCACAATAACACTGTTTAGTAGAGCTTCTCATTCTGGACAAACATAGAAAGAGTTTCTTCCCTGCAATTTTGACTGTTTATTCATTACTTACAAAGCTCCAGTTCTTCAACCAAGACAAACTAATTGTGACCTTAGCTGTATATGACCAGTTGAACTTTTCTTACAGTAGATGATACAAAGGGGACAGATGCAGCAGCATACAGAAAACACTTATCATTTTACTAGAAATACTTACATAAGGAGATTGAAAAAATCTTATGACATATGCTACAATAACTACTGATTTACCTAAAACTGCTTTTCAAACCTTCAGTGGCAATGGATTCTTCAATAAATATAGAAATCTAAAAGGGTCTCTGGAGAATCTGGAAAACTCTTTTTAGCATTAATATCAAAGGGAGAACAAAACACATCACCAGTTCTTTCTGTTAGACTCCAAACATTAATAGTAGTGTCAATGCATTTGGAGAAAAAAAAATAATAACTGACATCTTCCACTTCTGTGGAGATTGTAGTCACTATCATGCCTCTTTCTTGCACAAGTTTCTATGATTTAAAAATTTTAAATTTCTCTGCTTCTACAAACCAAATAGGAGTATTCTGTGCCATTTCTGGAGACAGCACACTAAATCTTTGTGTGTCAGAATTCTGCCTGACATAAGCATTTGGAGGATTTAGCTGAGCTCCCCTCAGAGAAAAAAATCCAATACTGTTTCTAAAGTTTACTTCAAAATAGTGTTTTGATCATATATATAAAGTATTCAACAATTTACCTGGATTTTCCATTTTACATAGCTACTTATGTAGTTAATTCTGTTACTTAGTTTAACTGCAGAGGAGCAGAAGAAGGAATAAACCATTTACTGCTGTTGCCACAGGAGTGCTAACATGTCAGTTAGCATTTCTTATCCAACCTTGAAACATAAGTAAACATAAATGTTCATTTACCAAGCAATTCTTGACTCCAGTCTATTCAGTTACTTGAAAAAAATCAGAAATTTCAGAGAGTATTAATTCTATCACTCATATGAAACAACTGAAAGTAGAAGTTTAAGATTACACCACAATAATCTGAGGAAAACATTACAAGGTTTAAATGTATTAAACTTTGAAAATGGAATTATTTTGAGAAGATGGACTGGAAAAATATAGTATGTCAAGAGACAATACAGGCTTATATGTGAAAAAATATTCGGAGGAGGAATGTCAAATCTTATTAGAACAAATAAGAATGAAAAAGAAATGCATCCTAGCTCAAAGAGATAATTTTTTTAGTTTATTGTTTAGTTATCTTGTTAGAATTCTTGATTTATTTTCCAGAAAAAATATTGACAAGCATACTCCAACAACATATTGCATGTCCCAGGAAACATTTCCTGTCAGAAAATCCTAAGAATTTATTGATGTTAAGAATGCTATTTTTGATCAGAAAGGACAGTTGTTATGTAAGTCTATCAGATTAAAGGAACAGCTGTGGTAGTTACCAGATTATTGAGAAAGCTGGTTTAAAAAGCATGATTTTAACAGTACCTAAGCCAAGGATGAACTAAGATAGGAGCAGATATACAGAAAACAATAAGATGCAATGTAAAAAAAGTTAACCTCTCCTTTCTGCAGACCTCAAAAAAGATAAGAGGGAAAATGACTTTCTCCTGAATTTTCTGTGTTTCAGGACTGAAAAATCTTGTAAAATAAAGTAAGTATGTATACAGATGTATATTGAATACTAACGGATAGCTAGCCAGAAATAGTTAGTGGATATCCAAATATCTAGATACCCTCCCTGACTGCAGTTTGTGGTGGAAGATCCTTGCAATTCTTATTCAAATACAATAAAGATTTATTTAATTAGGAAACATGAACATGAGAAACATAACCCTCCCATCATCATTTTCTGCTCATTCCTCAGAACTGCAATTTGGGCACAGAAATGATGCATGACATTTCAAAAAACATGCCAGTTCATGATTTTTGACTCATTTGTCTTTTCTATTGCATGCCTCTAGACTCCTGAAAATGTTGAAGCTGGCAGCAATTAGCAGACAGTAGCATTGTATTCACATGTATTCAACAGAAAAAGGATCTACAGTTTCCCCTTTACAGTGTCCTTTCATTCACTGTATGCTACAGAGATAAAAACTGTTCAATAATAGCAAATGATAATTTAAAGCAGATCAGAAGCAAGCGTGTAACTGAGGCTTTCTATATACCTCTTCTGATTGCACTTCCAAAATGAAATATCATAGATGGACACATTTGCTTCCAGCAGACTTTCTCAGACCTTCAGTGCTGCTTTTGCTAATCCTGTATGAATTCTTTAGTGTTTTTTTTTCCCAACAGTATTGCCACATATAACGTCTTTTTCTCATTGTCTTGTGCATAATAGAGATTTAATCAAAGTAAGTCCATGTGGAGCACCTATTCTCAACTGTAGTTCCAAGTGTTCTGGTAATCTGATGACAAAAGATGTGAAGAATACATTTCATGCCCAGAAATAAACATGGTTTGACCGTGGAAAATTCAAAAAACATGACCTACTGTCTTTCGGCAGCAAATCACAGATCCTACTTTGTAATTTGCACACTTGCACTCTGATTTACAAGAACAAATTAATATAGAGTGCAACAGGAATAATTCAAACCATTCAGCACTAAACAGCTTTTCTAGCTAGCAAACCTTTGTATCATTTCTAAAGCTGTACCTTCAACAAATACAAGACACATACTTAGTTTTGAATTTGCATATATAAAAAATGTATTTTTGAAACTTCATCTCAATATTAAAAAAATCAAAGTCTTAACGTGTGTATTTACTTCATTTGACATCACTATCTGGATACAAGAGTAAGGCTTTTCCTTTTGATTGCCTTTATGATGATTTTTCACCAGAAGACTTGCAAGTATTTTCCATGGCTGACATTAAAAGAGCAGTCTAGGAAAAAAAACTGTAGATAACTCAAAAGGAAAATGTGAGAAAGAGTTGTGAAAATGTATCAAAGAATGATTTCAACACAATTGTATGAGATTGCAGCAACAAATTATCTTGATAAAAATTTCACTTTATCATTGCAATAAGCGCTTGCCTGAGGTGAAAAGATATATTAATATCTGTAACAATAAATTTTTATCTCACATAGTAAGTTTGTGAGTTTCCTGTTGAGCAACTTCCTTGATTTACATTAAATACTGCTATAGATATAAGCCACAATTTTTCCTGCTCCTCTTGGTTGCTCAGTTTTGTGTCATTTGTTCTTTTTTAAACTTGAAAGAAAACAGCAATCAAAGATATTCCCTGAGCATTTAGGCACATATTCACATCTAGAGGCTTTGTTAGTGGAACATTGGACAACTGTAATTTTGTTTCCTTGAAATGGGGAGAAATAGCATCCTTGCTTTAAGTGGAGCGCTTTGAACTACTAAATAGAAGGAGAAATTTATCCTTGCTGAAAAGAAGATGTATTTGACTCCTGCAAAAATTTGCAGAGTGAATCTGCATGTCCTTTGTTCTGTTTGTAAACAAGGAAATGAAAATAGACAAAAATCTGACACTAGAATAAAGATGCATAGTTGTACTTAATAGTGAAGAGCAATATAACGTCTGCACAGAAGACCAGCTAATAGTAAAGAAAGGTATAACAAGAAAAACAATGATAATGAAAATCCCAAACCTTAAAGGCATGACTAGGTAATTCAAAAGGTAGAAATTAAAAACCGATCATAAATAAATCCTTGACACTTTTGCCACAGTCTATTGGCAATTCAGCTTACTTAAAACATTAATACTGGGGGCTGCTGGGGTGGGCTCTGTGAGATGAGCCCAGCAGCTGCCCCACAGCAGATCACAGCTGCTGCCTGTGGGAAGCCCACGTAGATGGATTGGTGCAGGAAGGGTGGCACCCCATTAGAGGGATCTCACGTGGAGCTGCAGCAGAGTGTGACCATGGAGGAACAGCAGAGAAAAAATGCTATGGACTGACCACAGCTTCCACTACTAATTCCCTTGCACTGCTCGGGGAGGGGGGTGTAAGGAAGAAGAGTGTGGATGGAGGGAAAGTGCTTTTAGTTTGCTTTTAGTTCTCACTGCTTTGCTGTCAGTAATTGGCAGTAACTCAAATTAATCTTCCCCAAGCTAAGCCTGTTTTGCCTGTGTCGGTAACTGGTGAGCAATCTCCCTGCCCTTATCTCAACCCATGAGCTGTTTCGTCCTATTTTCTCTCCTTGCCCTGCTGTGGAAGTGAAGTGAGAGCGGTTTGGTGGGCAACAAGCAGCCAGCCAGGCTCAATCCACTGCATTCATGGCTAACTGAAGATTACCACAGAAAAACTCTCTTTAACAAAATGTTTGGTCCTCCCAAACTCAGGTCCAAAGAAAAACAAAGAAAGAAACACACACTATTTTTCCTTCTCTTCAGCACATCTGACGTTGATTTGAGCCAAGTGAAAAAAGATAATGAAGATTTTTTTTCAAAAAGGTGAGCTCAGTTTCACTCCAATCAATTTTGAATACCATCCACACAAACATTTTAAAACAGCTACACAAAATCTTCTTTCTTCACACTTTTTTTCTGTTTGATGCTACCAAATACAAGTCCTGAAAATCTCTGAGAATCTGGGGGGAATCCCTCCCACTTTATTACCATTGTGTTAAATGGAACAAGGATGCACTTAATTTCTAAGCTTTCAAAGTAACAGCTGTTTTAAAGTTTTTTTTTTCCTCTTTTAGGGAAAGCGCATGCTAAAAGTCAAATGACAGTGCTGAAGCCTGTAATATTTTATATTAGATAGAAAGTATAAATTTGCTTAAATGATCTACATGTTTTTCATTAATATCTTGTAGGTATTTTTATTAATAACTAGCATGGATATAGAGTCACCAGAAAAAAAAAAAAAAAAAAAAAAAAAAAAAGTCTGTTTAGGATAGATTTACCACTTGTTTAGCACTATACATAGAAGAAATAATCCATAACAGCACGTTCAGTATCATAAAAAAGAATAGGTGAAGAAAATAACTTGTCATTTTCAGGGAGAATAAGGGTCTGCTAGTGTAATAGACAAATACATTACAGGAAGTTTGAAAAACTGAGGGGCTAGAGCAGTAGCCACAACATATACATGAAGTGGATACAAAAGAAAGCATATTGTAGAAAAACTTATTTGATCAAGTAATGACTTCCCAGCTATTGATGAATATCTCACTACCTGGAGTAATTGTTCAGTGTCTGAAAAGAAATGCAATTAAACATTTAGGAAGAACAGCTGTATTTTCATTGGCCATGCTTTGGTCCAGTAATTTTCAACTAGTGAGTAACATTTTCTAAACAAGCCAAGGACTTTAAGTTACAAGTACAGATAAAGGTTGCAGTTTGCTTGTGTTTTAAACCAAACTCATTTTTATAAAAAATGTATGAAGACATAATAACAATGCAAAGTGTACTGGCTTTATATGCTTACTTTTTTTTTTTTAAAACAAAAATCTTTATAACACATAACATTTCTGGGGAGATTTTAAACAGGGGCATACGATTCATTTGCCTTTTTATGAACTATCAGGAGACTGAAACTCAGGACTGGCTCATCACTCTAGTTGGGAGGCATTTTATTATACTTAAAAGGAGATCTTATGTTCCAGTAGTCTTGTTGTTAGGATCAAAGGTTCACTGACAGTCCCTTGAAAGAAAGATATACATTATACATACATAACTGGGTCTATTTCAATTTTAGTGTATAGAGGAGATTAAGTACATATTAAAATAAAGAGTTTGAAACTTGAGAATTTTCAACTTCACCAGTGTATCAAGTTATTTCTTCAATGATATCACAACAAGTTCTTCTAGTTTGCTAGGAAAGAAAATACACTCTTAAAAGCCCAAGACACATTGCAAGATTTCTCTGAAATAAGTAACAATTCATTAAGAATTTATCTTTTAGATAATAAACCTACGAGACTGTGGTAACTAATTCTTCTTGTTTCTCATCTAAAATCAAAAGTGCTTCCTCAGCATCAGCTAGAAATAAAAAGATATAGAAATAATATGAATTTTCATGACATATCACTGCTGCTTTTCCAGATGAAATAATGATTATAACTGGATATTTGCGTGGCATTGCTTGGCTGTGGTACAAAGAACTTACATATACACCACATCACTCGATATCTGAGAGTATTTGAAAGATACTATGATCTGGGTATTTTCAATACATTCCACACTAACAAAACAGAGAACTCAGACACTTATGCTGCTGTCAAAACAACATATTCAACAATGAGTCTAATGCAAAAAAGTTCTCAGCATATTGAGTATTACTTCTACCAGATAACATAATGAGAAAAAAACCTTCCAGATGAAATACTTTTTTATGCCCGGAAATATATCAGATGAAGCCATTATACATTATGTGGATCCCTTCTTTCATTTTCTCTGAAAACATATTTTAATTCTGCAACATATCATTAAACAAATTCCTTACCACATTTTGGTTGATCTTATGCCTGAAACAAGTGATGTAGACAACATATGGCCAGTCATCAGGCTCCATCAGCACTCCTGCAGCATGGGCACAGGTCACATGGAAGGAGGCTGGACAACGTCCGTATGAACATTGAATGCAGGCACCAGAGGTTTTCTTAACTCTCTGTCTGCAGAAAATACATTTCTGTAGAAAATAAAGAGAATATTTACCATACTACCACAATTTCACTGGTATCTGCAAGCATCTCTAGGACTGAAGAATTATTTATGCTTCACTGCTTATGTTTTATACCTCATAATGAACATAGCGAAAGAATAAACTTTTATGAACTGCAAGGTAACTTTATAATATGAGAATTGATATATAGTGTTTTTGTTTCTTTTTATGTAAACTCAATCTGTTTTGGTTCTACAGTAAGAAAACTGATAAATAGCCTTATAGAAGTTTAATTTCAAATTCCATACACTGCTCTGAAATTAACCTACACCTCTTAAGCTAGGTGAACTGAAAAGCCTTTATATAATTTTGCACAAAGTGAGTGCAAGATTCAAAAATAAAGAGAGTATTCCCACAGAAAAGCAGGGCTAGAGAGGACTTTCAAATATCATTTAACTTAGCTTCCTACTTTGAAGTTGGAATAAGTACATGTATCGTTAGACTTTGGAAGACTGCAAATCCAAAATGGTCATGCAATGGTTTCTACCACACCCTCAGATAATGTGTTACAATTAGAAATGCTTTATTTATCTCATGCCTTCACATAATTCCACAGCTGAAGGCTGTTCCCATGTCCCTTTTCATTTTTTCCAGTCTGGTTTTTACTGGTTGTATATTTTAATATGCAGGTAATTATGTAGGCCGTAATTCTCCACTTCATTTATAAAAACATTATATCAAAAGCCTTACTAGTGCCAAGACATACCATATTTATTCCTTCTCCCAGAATGGAGGCTACATCAAAATATTGTCATTATTGCTGTGATTCAGATTTCTTACTGGCTCTGCCTCAAGCTTTTTGTTAGTAAGCCACCCATATGAAACAAATAAATGGCTGCATGCAAGGTAAAGTAAATTTCAAAAAACAGCCCACCATGCCAGTATCTTGCCACCAGAAGATACTAGCAAACATGCTAAATCAAATAATTACTTAATTATGTCTGTGGTAACCGTGTTATACTGCATATGTGAATTACCTTCCAACAACTCTCATCATGGCTAACAAAACAATGCTTACAATTGAAGATCGTAAAATTAGTGCAGCTGTTATAGACTACAGAAAAAAAAATCTACTATAATTTGAAAGCATACTGTTAGTGTAGGGATTCCTTCCATGATTTTGTCTGCCTACTCTGGGAACAGGATTAAAAATAATTTTGATTTATTTTCTACTGTATAATTAATACTTTAAAGCATTTCATATTAATCTACACCAAATTCTTCTTTCCAAGTTACTAGATAGAGTCATGGAGTCATAATTTTGTTTTATTGGTTATCAATTTCTATATTCTTAAGAAACCTGCAGAAGTTTTACTGCATGAGTTAGCACTTCTTTATTTCAATGGCTTCTGGCACTCGGTGATTGATATTATGATTTCTGACCTGTCAAGTTCATCAGTCATGCAACTTTCTAGTTCATGCTGATCAGTCTGAACTTTCAATATTTTCCAATTCTGCCCTTTCAGTCAACCCCTGAAAGCCAACAGTCTGAATGGCTTTGCAAAGCAGAAACAAGAGCAGCATCTGACATCCAGTTAAAAGTTTTGTCCGTTGTTTGCTGAATGGTCCTGATTAGCATGCTACAACAGCATTAGGTCTGAAAGACTAGTAAGATCACTTCACCATCCACATAAATGTCCCAGGTCCTAACTGATTATGCTGACAACACATTGAGTGTTTGTATTCATGTGCATGAAGACATTTTCAGATACATAAAGCAACCGTTTCCTGAAGGAGCTTGAGGAAATTTTTGTAGGTACAAATTCAGAACTCAGTAAATTGGAATTCCAGAATGAAAACAGAACTGAAATCTATCATACTTTAATATCCAGACACTGAAGTCATAAAAATACATGGCTCATTTTACTTTTTTTACACAAATTCACAAGTCAGCTTAACCAAAATAAGAATGAAAGAGTGAAGTAAGAAATGAATTAAATAAACTAATTTTTTCTTAATTTTATCTACAAAAATGGCTACATGTATTGACTAGAAAAAAAAATGCAGATCAAACAAAATACAAAGAATGGGGAAATGATAACAAACCAGCACTGAGAAGGTAAATGAGCAGAAACTTAGGGAAGTACGTTATTGCAGGAAGTGACTCCTTAAATCACTGGCTGCATGAGTAAGGGACCAAATACACAAATGTTATGATGTAGCTAAAAGTTTATTCTGCATATAAGAAAAATTCTGAATGTCTTCTTTCAGTAAGTACAAGAACAATCAAGTTTGCTAAATAGTGAACCATTTCTCATTATTTTTATATGCTCTGTCCACTGTGCAGCAGTGAAAGTAATGATGTGGATGTACATTAGCTTTACATTGTCTCCAACCTACACATGAATTTGGAAAAGTACATACATGTGTAAATAAAAGGCACGTGTGCCAGCAATTTCACAGCTTGCATAACTGTATCAGGCAATGTTTCCCCACTCAAAGTTATGAAATAAAGCTTCTTCATCTTTCAGAATGAAAGCCAATTAATCTACAGTATTTGATTAATTAAAAAAAAAAAAAAAAAAACAACAAAAAAAAAAAAAACAAAACCAAAATAAATTACAAAAATCTGCTTTGCATAGACTTTTGGAAACTCAGCTGAGCTACATACCAGACTCTATATATTAACAGCCATGTCTGACCATATTGGCATGTTTCTCCCTCCGTAGCTTCTAAATGAGAATGTGTTTCTTACCCTATCACTTGGGGCTTGACTGTATATGAATTCAAACTGACTTTTTCATCTTTTGTTCCCATGCTGACACATTTTTATATTTGTTACAGTCTTTCATGACCAAAGAAAGTGATACAAATGTTTTGTTCCGCTTTGTTTAAAAAAAATATAATCAAGAAAAAAGAAGAGATATCATGCAACCACTGACATCAAAATTCTGAGAGAAGAGAAGGAATCAACAGTTGCAAAGAGGGAATTTTCACCCTCATTCTCTGCCCTTGTCTGAAGTCTGATGTTTCTAAATTTCAAGTATTACTTAGAATGGAACTGATCTTTAATAAATCTTGCAGAAGATAGAATCTTAATACTTTTCTGTCTGAGTTAACCTTGTATTTAGATACATAAGCTTCCTATTTGTGAAAATAAAAAGCTCGACATGTACACATTTGCTAAAATAAACCTGTGTTGAACATATCCAACTGATAGTTCTCCACTAGCCTAAAACTTATCCCTACTAGATCAAGTAAATTCAACATTCTATATAACTACGAAAAATGTAATTTTGAGTTAATGCTTCCTAAATACTACTGAGAAGCAGAAACAGTCAGGGAAGTGGCTCAAGAGCAATCTTAATCAGAGATCCAGATGCAAAATGAATTGGGGAATAAATATTTTTTTTTTATATAACTGGAGATTAAGAATATAGGACAGAAAAATGTATTGCAATTTTCTAGATGGTGAAATGACCTCTTTTTGCTCCCAAAGTGAAAAATATTCAGTCATAAATGGATTTCATAATCATGGAACAGCTCTTTAATATTAACAGGCTGCAAATACATAAACAGAATGGATTTTAAAGAACTCATTCTGAGAAAACTGGATGACAGTATTTTGCTGAAGACAGACTGCTGATAGCTTTCATAATGATTTTTATGCATTCTTACATAAACAATCTGATATTACTTCTCTTGAATAGAGTAATATTTACAAAAAAAATCTCTATATATCCAGTCCCTAACAGGATCATGAGTTAAGCACAGTAACACTGCTTTCTGAAGCAAGGATTTATGAAAGTAAGTACAGTCTGATGGTTGTGGCAAAAGGATGGGACTGGATTTTAGGAAAGAATCTGGAGTACTGATTTCTACGTGAAGTATTTCTATACTTTTGCAAGAAGAATGATTTATGTAAGGAAACTCTATGATTCTGTGATCAGCGAGCAAGTTTTTTTCAAAACCATCTTTCAGAATACAAGGTCAGCACTTAGTTTTGGCTGAGAGCATAATGTGTTTCTGTGGAAACACACTCACTGCTCTTTCCTTTTTATCATTCCTTTTATTCCAGATAAATTAAAACAACGCTGAATACTACAGCTATGAATCTGACAGAGTTTAGAATCAGAATCTGTAAAGAAAAACAGTTTTTCAGATCATTCATCATCTACTCCACTTCTTTGTTCAACACTTTCACAATTATATAACACCAACAAAGTTGGTAGACAAAGAGTCGAGAGACTATTTTGCATCCTTCTGGTATTTCAAACATAAAAACCAGTATGTTATGGGAAAGAATAAAACAATGATTGAAGGAAATGGTTTGTAGTTTCGTACTGCTCAGCATGCCTGAAGTGTGGGATATTCCAAAATATTGATAAACAATATTTAAATATAGGTGAAATTGTTTTACTTATACTTTCCAGAGAGAAGTAAACATGACATCATGTAGCATCAATAAGAATCAACTATTTTCTTACACCTTTGAAATAATGTAGATTTAAGACCATTCAATGTCTGAAGTTGCTAGTCATGACTTTGAAATTATGTTGTTTAGTTTTGAATGAAGCAGGAAGAGATCATAAAATTACAGCAAATACACATACTGCTTTAATATAAAGTGTTAAGAACTGGTAAGGGAGTTAATCATAGAATTACAGAATCACTGTTTTGGGTGGGAAGGGACCTCAAGGATCATCAACGTCCAACCCCCCTAGCACAGGGAGGGCTGTCAACCTCCAGATCTGGTACTAGGCCAGGTTGCACCGGGTCCCATCCAACCTTGAACATCTCCATGGACAGAGCATCCACAGCCTCTCTGTTCCACCACCTCACCACTTCCTCTGTGAAAAATTTCCCCTTGATATCTAATCTAAACATTCCCTCCTTAAGCTTGATTTACCAAAAGCAATGAATAGATACATATACATCTACTGTTTCAATGAAGCTGCTGAAATTCCAACAGATCACGTTTCATAGGAAACAGAAGACAAACTTACATTGTAGAATTTTTAAAACAT